TTTTTATTGGATTCTCCTATTCTTGAAGAACATACACCTAAAATTTCAAATAATTTAGGCATGTGTTCTTCAAATTAGGAGAATCTTGCAAAAATATTAAAATAATAATTTGCAAGAAATAAATTGATGAAAATACCTTTGAAAAGTTTCGGGGGTATGTTGGTCAATTTATTTTTTGTAAATTATTTTTAACATATTTTTATTAGGTGTGCCTTGATTAGAAAAATATATACCTAAAATTTTAAATTATTTAGATATGTAGAAAATATATTAAAATTCAAATATGAAATGAGGTCGTGACCGTTAGATCAGCCCAGATTCAATCTGGGCCATTGGGGTCATATGCTCATATGAGCTACTGGGCTAATCTCAGAATTTTCCATATACATATGACGATACTACAAAATGCTTATAGGAGAAATTGAACAGTGATTTCGCCTACCCTCATCACCGTCCAAAATTCATTGCACAGTCACGATTGTTCTGTAGTGTTTTATTTTTCATTTTGTTTCTACAAATTGGAATAATTTGAAATTTCGTTCGTGTATTCACAAAAATTTGGGCGAATCTAGAAAAATATCAAAAAAATATTTTACATTAAATAAATTGACCAAAATACCCTTGAAAAAGGTATTTTGGTCAATTGTTTTTGTTAATTTATTTTTAGATTTTTATTAGGTGCGCCTCACTAATATGTATGCATGCTCTAAATTTTAGATTATTCTGATGCGTAGAAAAAAAATGAAAAATAAAACACTACTAGACAATCGTGACGGTGCGATGAACTTTGGAAGGCGATGACTTGCGCCTCACTAATATATGCACATGCTCCAAATTTCAGATTAGGTGCACCTCACTAATATGTGAATACCCTCCAAATTTCAATTTATTTTGATTTGTAGAAAAAAAATGAAAAATGAAATACTACCAGACAATCGTGACCGTGCGATGAACTTTGGACGGTGATGCGGGTAGGTGAAATCACTATTCATTTTTTCCTATATGCATTGGGAAGAATTTTCTATATATATATATATATATATATTATTGTTGTACGTCATTTTTGACTTACTTACATCCTTGGTGCAAATAAAGAGAGAGACAGTGACGACCTAGTCCTGCAGGTACCCAAGACACTGCCAGACCAAGAAAACATTGCACAATCAACCTAACACTAGAGAACCTTGGAAAAAAAAAAGTAGTATCATGGTAAAAAAAAGAGATCTTACAATTATAACCCTAAGCTAGGGGCTTCAAAACAGTACCAGACCACGGTCGTTGCATCCAGAACATCGAAAAGCCTTTAGGGACCAAATTTGGGCTCAATCAAACCTCTCAGGAATATCTTGTGCCCAAATTACCTCGAACAGGTAGGTCGTATACTATTGTGATGTGGCCTCACCGAACCAGTTCCCAATCATGAAAGTCGTGATATTCACATCTCGGGATAACTTGCAAATGCCCATATATCACTCGTTTTGAAATCAAAGCAAGCTCAAAATTGAGCACAAGCTAGGTCTCGACAACTGAGTCATTTTGTTGTATGGCACGCATCGTGACATGACCCAGAATCAAAGCTTTTTTAGAGAGAAGATGAGTCTGAAACTATGGAAATCAGAATTTTTGAAGAAAAGACATCTCTAACTTTGCGAAGTAATAAACTCGAGATCTATACTTTGGATGATTGTAACAATAGGTCCGATGAGGCCGTATCACGAAGGGCAACAAGCTGGTATAACTGTTACACTAGCAAAATTCTATGGTTGAAGAAAGCAAGATCGCCCAGTCACCGAAATCCCTTTTTTCGGCGATCTCCTGAAATCAGAAAGTACTTCAAACATGAACCAAACCGGACAAAAATTAGTTCAAAACGACTGTGGAAGTCTCCTCTTTAATTTTTACTCAAAATAAAGGCCCAAAACACCATGGATCGCGTTGCATTGACAACCAAATTTTACAATCTACCTGGATTTCTACCTCTTGGGAAAAAAATCTGTCTCACGACAAACAAAACACATCAAACTCTTCAAAATCAAGCAAGCATCAAGACTACGATAATTGATCATCTCAATCATCGCCACAAGCATTCGAAAAACGCTTCTAAGATCTGGCAATGGCGAAAGGCCCCTCAGAGAGGGATGGTTTCATCATTAGTACAAAAGGTTTAAGGGGTATTTTAGTCATTATTCCTAGGATTTTATTGTAATTCCTTTTAATTATTATTATGCTTAGTTTTGAGCATCCACCCTTGTTCGGTGAGTCCTCTATATAAACAAGCTTAGCTCAATTGTAAAAGGGCCGGATCATTAATTAATGAAATAGAGGCATTAAGCTCGTTTACATTTATTTTTTGCTCCTAACCCTTCGATCCAATGCCAAGGAGAGAGAAAACTTTCTTAGAGAGAGAAACTACCCTTAGATTACCCTAATCACGTGGTTTCGTCCTCTCTCTCTTTTTCTTCTTTCTTTCTTCTCTCTCTTCACTCATTGCTTGCCACGCACAATAACCTGTGTCCATGGAAAAACATGCGGTCCCATCTCTTTCCCCCTTCCATCTCTAGCACAAACGCAGCAAACTTGCGGTAGCAAATAGCCTCCCGCTATTCGATATATGCTCGATTAAATACCCTTCAAGGTCAGCCTAGGGGTTCCAACCCTTAGACTATCACTCTAACTTCCTCTGCGTACAGTGGAGTTGAGTTGTGAGAGACGCATACGCTCTCTCCCTCATTCACTCGGGAGGAGTCTTCTTGAGATGATAGTTAAGAGAGTTCTAACCCTTCGGTTGCTCTGATCGCCCGAGTGCATAGCTTTTGCCTGGATAGGGGGATTCTCATCACCTTTATCCCTTATCCCTTCTTTTTTTGTCAACCAGGCCCCGTTCGAGTGAGTCACAATAGAGGAGTACAAGCGAATCCACATTGCAGTTTCCAGTGCAAGAGATTGAAACGACGTATTAAAAGCCCGAGGAGAGTCTGTGTCAAAACCGCGCTGGAAGACAACCGGAGGGCTTCGTAATTGTTTTAAGAGGGCGAACCGCCTGGGTGTGTCCCGAACCCCAAACGACAAGGTCAACGTCTAAAAAAGCACCCCCATTGCAAAATCTCTCTCTCTGTTGGTTCCTATCCACACATAGGAGGGCACACATGCGTACACTCACAAACGTGCAGCGTGCACGGACCCTTCACTGTTGTTTGAGAGAGGATTTTTCTCGCTGTACGCGGGAGGAAAAATCAAGTCCGACCAATTATATCTTTTTATTAGATGAGATAAAGTTTTGCATCACCTTTTGAATCGTATTGGCTGATCTAAAAAATGAATAGATTAGATCTCTCACCCCACAGGTCTCCTAAGACCAATAGGGCTAGATCAATTTAATAGAATGGCTATCCCTAAAGAAACTCAATCCCTCTGAAAAGCCTATAAATAGGGGTCTCCTCACCTGTCATTTTCTACACCAAAATCTCTCTCTTTCTCTCTAATATTCCTCTAGGGGTTGGACACCACCCTTTGGGAAGTTCTTCTCTCTCTCTCTTCAATGTCTTATCTCTCATAAAAGAGAGATTGAGGGCACGCCCTCATAGGAGACCATTCATAGGGGCATGCCCACCCAATAGATCTAAGGTATTGAGGCTTAGATACAAATAACCTATTGATCTTATATTTGTGAAGGGGTTTAGCCAAAGTTTTCCCATATTTAGAAGATCCGAGAAAGTCCATTGATCCCATGCGCCACTAGAGGAAGAGACCCGGTGTGGGGTGTTCTAAGGCCGGTTGAGGTAATCTTCTAGCATCTTTACTTTTATGCTTTGCAGTCCATTATCTTGTATCTTCCCATAGCATAATATTATTTCCATTTATTCAATAAAAGAAAGTTGTAATTAATGGCAATAATTGAGAATCAATTTGCTTATTTATTTTTTCTTTTGAGTTGAATTTATTGTGATTTGACCATTGTAAGTATTCTAGTTAGTGTAAAAAATAAAAATTTAAAAATTAATACACCGTGCTAGATCACCTTTGTCCACCTTTTCACCAATCATCTAGCTTTGAACCCATTCTTAAATAAGGGAGGATTCAAACCTTTGACCTGCATGACATAAGAATTGAACCTCTGTCATTCCCCAATATAAGAAAAACTATGGGTTAGTACCATAATTCTAATGAGTATGGTACATACTAGAGTTTCAGGAAAAGCGTGGGTCGAACCAAAATTACTAGGATCAGCTTAGTTGGAAGGCAGTATAGGTCTAGGGAGGCACTAAATCGTAGATTCCACTAATTCGCAATGATTTTCTATTTACTTATATGGTGCTTTTGTTTTCTGGAAGTGGTGACTTCCAGATCCATCACATCTAAATGTTGTAGCACTTCCCTGTTAGATAAGGGCAAGTGTTATACAATATTTGAAAGTTACAACTTCCTTATGGATTAAAAATCACATAGAGAAGTAGAAGTGGCAGCTTCTACAACTCCACCTCCTAAGGCAAATCCAATTCTTTAGAAGATGCGGTTTCCAAAGTCAAATAGCACCAACCAGATTTTTAAAAGATTGGTGTGAAGTAATCCACGTAATCCGCCGTATCCATAAAATGTCCCAAGAGAAATTTTTGATCTATTAGCACTCAGTGAGCCATGCGAGGATAATCACCTTAGCATAATTAATCTCCACCATCCAATAAAAGGAGTGGAGGTGGGGGATGCGCATTCGGGGAAACATCACATGTGTGTTTTAGGATTGTGCTATGCTTTTTTTCTTATAATTCAAATGCTAAAGATGCAATAAAAGCCATTGTCAACCACACAAAAGTGTGAAGTAATGGGGGAGGAACATCCATCTCTCTGTCTCTCTTTCTTGTTAGGGAAAAAAACTCAAAATACAGGATTCAAAACTTTATTGGTAAAAAATACTATAATAAATCATCTTTGCATGAATCCATTACCTTTTGTTTCTTTTTTCTTTTTTTTTTAATATTAATCACGAATTTCATTGCCTCAAAAATAAGTACACTAGGAAATTACAGCCACCAACTATGATGAATCCATTAGTATATGTATCCAAAAGAAACTGCCAAACTACCAAATTGCCCAAGTTTCTCCATGAAATCCTCATGAATTTATGTTTTCTATGTACGAAATCTTTGAAAAGATATGCCCACAAAAATTTTTAGGAAATCCCCTGGATGGCCCTGTTCTCTCAAGCCCTGCTGTATAGCAGCATCTTCGCCTTCTTCAAAACCTTCTCAAACCTTCTCAAATCAACCCTCACATCCTGTTTATCCAAATACACGGTCCTAAGTGCCCCCCAACCCTTTTTATGGAGAGAAATAGGGTCTACTAACGCAGGATCATCTCTTGGGATCTCTTTGATTAGAGAACTCTCTTCTGGTTTTATCCTGTAATCAAGGTAGTGGAGATCCATGGCCACAGCTGGGTCCCCAAAGTCGTAGGAAGCTAGGCCTTCAAGCCTACCGAGAGGCACAATCTGAATCACGACAGCTCCAGCCGGCAATAACACCATGTTTGTGAGCCCGGCTCCATGCACCCCGACCATAACATCACAAGAATTCACAATTTGAGCTAACAATGTCATATTTGTGCTCCAGTTAGCCTCCACTGTCACCACCTCATAACCAAGCTTCTCACTTCGTCTCATAATTTCTTTGGCGTTCTCAAACTTCCGTGACCGACTTCGATTAATGAGAAGTAGCCTTGGCTTCCTGCCACCCTCTAAGACAACCCTCTCTCTCTCAAGAAAGTAGGCCCTCCTCAGGAGTGCTCTAAAGTCGAACATAGACTCCGTCCTCAATTCATTTGAGGATGTATTTTGGAGCTTTCCAGCATGAGTGCCGAGTTCCCGGTGAAATTCGAGGCCGGCAATCGCACTGGAGAAACAATGGACCTCAGCCTCATCTCCAAAGTTGACGGGGTCATGGCCAGAGAGTTGTTTCAGAATATGCTGAAATTTCCTGATCCACCAAATGTTCATGTCGGAAATAACAAATTGGACCTCTCTATCAAAACGGTGGGATGTAATGTAGAGCGGGACCAAAACATCCGTGAAATCGTGGAAGAGGTTGCCAGTGTATCCTCCGGTCGAGAAAATGATAGCTGGAATTTCATGTCTAACAGTGCACTTCGGAATTTTGACATAATAAGATAGATTTTCTAGAGAAGAGTTTGATGTTATGACAGAGGATTCGAAGGGTTTTACAGTGATATCTTTGACATTTTGCATGGCCGTGACATCGCCCTTTCGGACATACGGCTGGATTTTCCATGAGTTTCGGCCCACTGGAAGTCCCCATGAGGAGGGGGGAGAAGAAGTGAGGAGAAAGATGGTGGAGGAGTTGGGGTGGATCCTTATGTCTCCTTCTAGTTTGCAGATATCGAACCGTTTGTTCTTCGTGTTACAGATTGGCAATATCTCGACTGTTGGTTGGATTTCTGCCTTGAACTGTAGACCTGGGAGGGACAAAAATTTCGACCAAATAAATTCTTTCGACCCTCACAAACATATAATGCGATAGTTATTTGTTATGAAATGATTCTTTAATTCATAAAAACTGATATTCATTTATGTAAAGGGAAAACATTTGTGTTCGCAGATTGGGTATCCTAGAGTATGTTAACATCCCCAACAGTCCATTTCAACAATGGACAGTTGAGATTGTATCCATCGTTGCCGTTCATATAGAAGTTATTTGCAAATTGTAATGCTATCTAAATGTTATATACAACAAAATACAATGACACCTTTAGAACATGATAGCATATAAAAATTAATTCTGACAGTGATTTTTGTTGTTTGTTGGTGTGAATTATTAGTCCAAGAAACTTATAGGCAGTTTCACATATGTTTGTCTTTTTGAAAAGCTGGTTTTACTTTATTCAATGTAGTTTTTTAAAAATCATATGTTTTTAGCCAGAAATACCTAAAAGTTTATTAAGATTGTAAAAAAAGCAAGATTACATAACAACACACGGTATGTACCAAATAATTAAGAAAATAATATTTTCAGCAGTTTATTTGACGGAAATGAATCAAACAATATCTAATATTTGAACCATTGAGCATTCTCTAATTTCAAATAACCAATCTTTATTTCGATCAAATTTCAAATGGTCCATCAAATGACACATTGAAATAGGTTTTGAAAATTATCAGATTACACTCAGGGTTAAATGTTAAATAGTTGAATATTTAGGTGGTATTTTCTAAATATTTTTCAAAAAAAAATTTTCATCCAAACTGGCCCTTAGTCTAAAGTTTTAGATGAATAAAAATTACATACCGTAGTCTAAAGTTATATATATATATTTGAAAAATGCTGAGATTAACCCACAAACTCATATGAACATATATGTCCATATAGGTCCAATGGCCCAGATTGAATCTAGGTCGACCTAACGGTCACGACCTCATTTCGTATTTGACTTTGAATGTTTTTTATATCACTCCAAATAACTTGAAATTTTATGCATCTATTCTTCAAAAATAGAAGAATCTGATAAAAATATCAAAAAAATAATTTGTGAGAACTAAATTGACCAAAATACCCCTAAATTATTTCGAGCATAGTTTGGTCAATTTATATTTTACAAATCATTTTAAAATGTTTTTATTAGGTGCATATTGATAAGAAGAATAAACGAAGAAATTTTCAAATTATTTGGATTCGTAGAAAAAATATTAAAATTCAAATGCGAAATGAGGTCGTGATCCTCAGATCGGCCCAGATTCAATTGGGCCGTTGGACTCATATGTTCATATGAGCTAGTGGGATAATTGGCCTAGATTTAATCTGGGCCGCTAAACTCATATGTTCATATGAGCTAGTGGGCTAATCTCAGCATTTTCATATATATATATATATATATATATATATATATATATATATATATACTACTACCTAATACTAAGTAGTAGTAGGAGGACGAGACACAGAGGTAGAG